CGAGTCACTTACTGGGATGAAACGTCCGTCAAGTACTTCCAGATTTTCTATGGTGGTCTAGCTTTAATTGACTCATAAATTCAATTATTAAATTATTAATGATATCCACAAAATCTCTTTCTGGTAATTATCATCCTATTGTCTTTGATCTTTTTCTTTTTTTGTTTTGTTTTATAATTTACGATTCTCAACGTGTTTTTTCTTTCTTTCATCAACCAATTTCGAAATTAATTCAAAATTATTAAATATATTTATTGTGAAACAACTAACTCATTGAATTCAAAGATTTTTGTTTTGTTTTTTTATAGAAAATACTTAAATAAATTATTTTCATCGTTTAAAACAACAGTGATAATACTATTTAAAAGGAAATATTATTATGAGTAGTATGTAAAATAGACTCATAATATTAGAGAAGAATAAATGAGAAATATTTGTGTTTATGATATAAAGTAAAAACAATCATAGAATACTATGTGTGTGTGTGTCTAAGTACATACAAAATAACAAAAAAAAAGAAAAGAGAATAGAAGACAGAATATCTCTTAAAACACATATCTTAATCTAAAGCTTTTCTTTTTCATTTCAATATGTTATGTTTACTCATTAAATATGCAAAAATTGAACTGAATACAAATTAAAAAAAACGTCGGTAATAACGACAGTGATGATGATGATGATGATTAAAATGACGACGAGGGTGATGATGAATAACAAATATGTCTCTCAGTTGTTATTATTGTTGTTAAATGAACTTCCTTTCTGTTGGTTGTATCAAAATGAAAATATGGAATCAAGAAATACGAATGGAATTAGATATTCGGTTTCATCATCATCATCATCATCATCAACAACAACAACAACAACAAGATTATCTCAAAATATAAAGTATTGACACACGAATAGATGACAAAAACAAAAAAAATTAAAAGTGCGAACTAATAAAGGGGAAAAATAGAGAATGGAAAGAAGAAATAAAAAAACGCTTTATCATTCAATGTTAAACATAAGTGAAATTAAACTGTTTTTATTCACAAAATTAATATGGAGGGAAATTTGAATAAGTAATTTCTTTTTGTTTAATAGACTAAATTATTGAATAATTAATTTAATGAAAATAGAGTTCGTTTGTGCAATATTGAAAGTATATAAAGTTATATAGGTAATTAGATTAATGAATTTAAATTATATCAAAAGGGTTTTTTTGTGTGGATATTATAGTAATTTTAATGGTTGAGATCATGAGGCGGGATCGTGGATGAGCACTTCCGAGGAATTCCATACTAAGACAAAACGGCCTTCCAGTGCTTCCATGTTTTCCATGGTGGTCTAGCTTCAATTGACTCATGATCTCAACTACTGATAATTTAAATTAGCTTGAATCATTATTTTTTTAAAAATCATCATTATGTAGATAATTAATTTTTTCTTGAAGAAAATTCAATTAGGTGTAAACTTGATGTAATTGTCTGGAAACTTGATCTTAATAATGAGATCAAACAAATTTAGATAATACACTTCCAAAGTATACAGAAAATTTTTTTAGTGTTTTTCATCCTTCAAGTTCTAATTTTTCTATTTAATAATAAATTAAACTAATAATAACTCACTTGATTATCAAGATGTCAGAAATGATATTTTGAATAATATCTTTGATTACATGTACTTTTATTACTAATCTCTTTATCGAACTGATTTGTAAGTTTTTCAACTTTTTAATCTATGTAAAAGATCATTTAAGTTTTATTGATATAATAGATGTATACCTGTAAAATGAAGTAAAATGCAAATCTTTTCATATTGTTCCTGTCATTGGTTGACCTTGTTTAAGGAACAATTGGAAAAAAAAGGGAAAAACTGGTATCTTTCAATAGTGAGCACCTACAACTCCACTGGAGATCCACCCTGGGACATTCATTTCTATTTCTTTTCATTAGTATAGCTACAGATAAAATTGTCTATCATTGCAAACTCATGATGTAATTTTTTGAAACTTACCCCTTGTGGAGGAGCATAGGCCGCCCACCAGCATGAAATTTAAAGTATCGAGACTTTATATTCAAATCTTGTGAAATGATGCAACTTGAAGGTCTTAGATTAATTCCACCTACTCACAACTAATATTTTATGTTTAATATTTTGACAGTCAGTCAATAAACTAACTTAATTCAGTAAATATGGTCATAATGTTTACCAAAATTTGATATCTGAATGTAGAAATGTCAAGATTTTGGTCTGAACATTAGCCTGTATTTTCTAAACTTTTTTATGTCTACTTAAAAAAGGGATGCAGTACAAAAATTTTATGACCAAGAAATTAGGCAAACATGAATGGTCTCTTCGGATTGTCTAATAGTGTTCGGAGTAGATCTGGAGATATACTTTTACAACTTCTGAAGGGTAAAATTAAAATTTTGATTTCTAAACTCCTATTATGTCAAATAAAAACTACAGAGTCTTGAGGATTATTTTACCCAAGAAATCTCTTTAATGGATTAGTTGTAATAATATGACGATTTTATTGTTTTATAAATTCTATGTACAAATGTACCTTACGACCAGTACACATTAGTATGTATCTATGAAAGAAATAAAATGTGTTTTTATGGTTAGCATTACTAAATACACTAGAAATGCTAAAAAAATACCAATTTTTTGTTAACCTTTAACTGAATCACAAAAGTAGTTTTGGAAGGATAGTTGATCTAATGGTATAAGCCAGATCACGAATATAGTACATAGTTTTTCTTAACTGTATACTGGTTATATTTTCAGTAACCTAACTTTATGCACAGTTAAACAATCAATGTAACTCTTCATGAACCTAGGTTTCGTCTTTTTCAAATGAACTAAAGTTCTTTAAGTGTTTGCTTGATTTTGGTTTTCCAATTTGCTTGCAGGGTTAGGCGTAAATTAATATCAGTTGGGTTTTGTGGATATTATAGTAATTTCAATGGTTAAGATCATGAGTCAGTTAAATCAGTAGATTAGCAACAAATTAGCAGATCGGAGAAGGCGGGTGTGCAAAGTTCATTTAATGAAGTGTGACTCAATATTTATAGTCAGACAAAGATAAGCTGTAGACATATGATGAATAGGGCACGTTCAGAAAAAAACAGTCAAGGTTATAAACGAATATTGACAAGATCAAAAGGTGACACAAGAAGAATAAATAAATGGACTTGACATAGTGCCAGACACTACAACACCACAAAATTCAAAGATTTACACAGTCTCACATACCAGAAAATTATGATAATTCCATGATGCTTATATATTGAACAGCAAATTAAATTACTATGATCATCAAAATTGTCAACTGATAAATGCGTATGAAATATATATATTTTTAATGACTACATGATTTTAATAGTTGAAATCATGAGTCAATTGAAGCTATACCACTATAGAAATCCTGGAAGCACTGGACGGCGTTTCGTCCTAGTATGGAACTCTTCAGTAGTGCACATCCACGATCCCACCCCTCACGAGATTCGAACCCAGGACCTAACAGTCTCGCGCGTGAGCGCTTAACCATTAGACCACTGAGCTGACCGGCATCTTACGGTGTTAATGTCTAACTTCAACCAATTTATAGTGGTCTAGCTTCAATTGACTCATCATTTCAACTATTGAAATTACTAAAATCTTCACAAAACCCCTTCTGATTACATAGTTAACAAAATACTTTTTCGTAGTCAAGATAATAAGGAAACGAACAGCTTAAAGCATTGTTATGATTAATTTGACAAAAGCAATCTTTAGACATCTTGCATACTTATCGGCTTAAAACAAGTTATCATTATTGTTTATTGGATTATCTTGTTGATTATACATTTTCTACAATTGGTTCTTATATTTTATTTTTACAAAAAAACCGAGTGTTTGCTGTAATAATTTCAATTAAGTTGAACAATTAATTCTTCTTTTATACTATTCTATCATCTGTTATATTAGAAAGTATTCAGGGTTAAATTTATAAGATAATGCTTCATAGTTGTGTTGTAGAAACAGAAATAAAGTTTAGATTAAGTGAATACCACAGAAAGTAAGAAAATATTCACTTTATTACATCAAGTAAATTCTACATATTCATAGATAGGTTTATTTAAGATTTGTATCCCAACGAAAGGGATGACAATATTCAACTTATATCTAAATAACTTGATTCCGTTTTTCTTCGAAAGTAATCAAAACTGTATGAGCATATTATAGTATAAACACTTTTATGTTATAACATACTCTTTTTTTTTAATCGTGGTACCGAGACACGTTCTTGATCAATTGTCTAAGGAATTATTTCTATATAAACCATCCATTTGGATGCTTTATCAATTCATTATGGGTTACTAATCATATTGTATTTAATAAACCATTCAATTTCTGAATACTAAGCACTGATAAACACTGCACTCACTTTTCTTCCTTGAATTTATTGAATAAAAACATGAATAAACTAAAACCAATACAAAAATATCCATTGTGTATAATGTGCTCTCATTTATGATGCAATGGAAATAAACAACGGATTTACACGCTAAACCATATTAACCAATAGATATGTTACTTTACTAACAGAATTTCCCTATCAATTCACCATACAGACATAAAATCTTGAAACGGTTTATCTATTTATATCATGAGATGTATGCATATTTATATTGTACAAATGAGAGAAATAGACGGGATATTTAAGGAAAAGTAAACTTAACATACAAACAAACAAAAAAGATGGAAGAGAATATTTCGAGTTTTATTTAGTGGAATAGATAATAATTCTGATATGAACAAACAAACAAGGGAAATTGAACATAATACCTATTATTCAGTAGACGTCACTCATACATATATGTATATACATAATGGATAAGAATTCAATAAAAGGGATTGGGAAATTTGTTCATTCTTCCATTCAATAACAATAGATCATTTTTATTACATAAAATTTATTTCATGTACATTATAATAGATGACAAAATAAATTATTGTTATTGACCAAAATGACGGAATCAACCATTTCAGATACAAACTTAATAAATAACTTTGCAGGTAAGTCGGAAAGTATCGTCTATCAAGTTACATTATTTCATGAATGATACAAGTCTACGCTAATATGTTATTACTAATTATCCTAATGAATTTTGGTAATTATAAATATTTATTCTTTGAATTAGGGGATAAGCGTTCTCCCGCGAGACCAAAGGCCCTGGGTTCAAGTCCCACGTGCAGGATCGTGGATGCGCACTGCTGAGGAGTCTCATACTAGGACGAAACAACCGTCCAGTGCTTCCAGGTTTTCGATGGTGGTCTAACATTCATCCATTCATGATATCAATCGAAAAACAACCATCTCCATGACCCTATACTGATAATCTTTGATTTACGTATGTTTTTAGACGAATACTACGATCATTGAGAAATATTTGATTACGTAAACAATAGACTGAGATAAATATTAATGGATTTTCTGACTTGAATAGTCCAACTGTAAGGCCATTATTATCATTTTGTACAATGTTATCAGTGTTTAGCTTGACCAATGCAAACCAGTCACCGAAATTGGAAAACAGATAATCTTACCATACTTTTACAGTGGATCGAAAATCATTAACACTTTGAAATATATTTTATTCTAGTTCACAATATAGGAATTTTTGATATAATGAAATTAGTGTTGCTCATAAAACGGTACATTTCTTCGCTTTCGTTTTATGCACAAAAAGTACTAAACAGTGGGTTCACAAATTCAATATCATTTACAAAACAAGTCTCATTCATTGCAAAAGGTACTAACAGATGGAGAGAGGTAGTCCGTAAGAAACTGTAAACCTAGATTCCGCCCTATTCGAGGCTTATCAATGAGGTGTATCTGTATTGTCGAGGGGGGGGTGCTCACTGACAGGTCAGATCCCGTATCATTCAGCTTCAGATTCTGAGACTTTACCAGTAAGTTATTCAGGCCTCAACTGACCTCATGTAGGACTAAGACATTTATGATTGATTGATCACTGTGTAGTGACTGATGTCACGTTTGTCTAGTCTTTTTTATTAATGATCGAATTCTGACGATTAAGTTGAAGTGCATCCACCAGGCTAATGGACTCCACCGGGCAGCTCCAGTTCTCTTAAGACAACAGGTATGTAGTAATGAAGGGTTCCAACTGAGTCGAAACTTATGTTCAGGGTTTCCTGTTGACTATATCCAAATCCTTAGCATCTAAATATAGTCTGTTTGACGACAAGTCACTTTGAATGATGTCTACATTGTAAAGTTGGATCGATTGTATTCGATCAATACTAAGAAACTACATAAAAACGGTATCAGTTACTATTAAGTGACCAGTCAGTTGTAAAAGGTAGTACATCAGACATAGTGCACATTCAAGTCATCCGTAGGTACAAAACATAGATTAGCATTTAATGTTGATGGAAAGTTTGGGTAAACGCAAAAATTATATGGTTGAAGTCTCTTGAGAATTATATTAATTTCAAGGGATTAGATGGCGGTTGGAGTTAGTCAACAGGAAACCCTGGACCCGGGTTTCGTGCTACTTGGCACTCGTCAGCAAGATGTACCTGTAATCTTGAGGGAACTGGTGCTCCCTGACAGATTAGATCCCGTGTCACACAACTTCACAGTCAGAAAAGTTACCACTAGGCTATCCGGGCCGTAGTCGATAGCATTCAATCTGCACTAATAAGGATTTGACACACGACATTGATCACCACCCAGTGATCAATCAATTGTAATTTCAAGGGATTTTTCCGGAAATGACATGAGTTTAGAGGAAAAAACTAATAAAGCATTTAAATAAATAGCTAAATATAATATGATTATAACATTCGTTTATTTTTATTAATAGATTCCAGTTCATCATTAAGAAATTCAATTTGTTTAAAATCAAAGAAAAATATTCATTCTTCATCCTTATCAGAATTTATAGATGAAACAAATCATGTAGAATATCAAATGAATAAGAATGAGGAAACACATCAATTTTATTGCTTTCAAATGGAAGAATCTGTGCTAAATTCATCTTCAGAATTAACTGTTAATCAAAATTCTGAATGCTTACAAATGAATAAATCAATTTTCAATAATTATGACAGAAACATATCTACTGATTGGACAAATTGTACAAAAACACCACAATCACATGAATATCAAACATTTCCTGTTTATGATTTTACATCATTCCAATACCATCGTCATCATCATTTAACTTCACAGTATGATCACTATCAACGTCATTTACATAATCCCATTCATTCAACTTATCCATTACATCATATGTTTAATAAATATGATGAGTCGAGTGATGAGATGAATTTTCACACTGATATTACAGAGAAGCACAAAATAAATCATAATCATAGTGATGAGAATAATAATAACAACACCTCAAATAACACTGAATGTAGTAGTAGTAGTAATAGTAATAGCAGTAATAATAGTAAAACTTTGAATAAAAAATCTAAAAGAGCTCGAACAGCTTACACGCAAACACAACTGATAGAATTAGAAAAAGAATTTTGGTATAGCCAATATTTATGTCGACCGCGTAGAATTGAAATAGCTTCAACACTTAAATTATCTGAAAAACAAATTAAAGTAAGTTAATGAGTTCTTTATTTTTCTCTATATAATGTAAGTAGCAATAATACTTTCTGGTTACATTTTAGTGAGGTCATTCCCTTTGACATCAATTAAACCACATGATGTTGTCGACGGACTCACCACTTTAGTGGTCCGATATCTGACTCCCATAATATTGTATGAATGATTGTTATCGAAGTATACATATCGTCAATCCTCGTATATTATCATCGACTTAACTCGCATTAGTAAATAACGAATTTAAATAAGCCAAATACGATAATAGATTTTGAATATGTATATTTTATGCATTCATTGATTTGAACAGGCAATCGGGGAATGAAGCGAAAAGAAGAGAGTGAAGTAAAATGAGGCGCCGTGGAGAAGACATGTAAACCAACTCCATTTAGTCATGCGTTAATCAATAACTGTTACTCTTTAAAATTCCATTTTTATACATAGTATTTTTCTTTATTAACTGATATTAGTTAAATAAAGATACTTCTCAGTAGAGTGAATTAACAGTACACATATGTTGTGGAATATTTAAGTTTCCGACTTTAACTAATTCGTGATATTGGGTGTTGTTAATCCAATATCACATTACACTTGGATTAGGCTTTGATTTCTTTAACTTCACATTTTTCGTTTGTAACATTAAAATACCTTTGAAGAAGTAGGTAATAATTACTATGTGGTTTTTTAAACTAATGATAATAGTAATAGTAATATACAAAATTTGTGAAGATTGTAGAATTTTAATAGTTCAAGTCACAATCTGATCTTGGCTATACCACAATTGGAAACCTAGAAGCACTGGATGGTCGTTTCGCCTTAGTATGGAACTCCCCAACAGTTTGCACGCACGACCCCATACTATAGGATTGAACCCACGACTTTCAGTTCTACGCACGAACGCTTAAATTTTAGACCACTCAATCGGGATTCGACGTTGCTGACGTCTAACTTTCATCAATTCAAGATATTGTACAACCCTCATCCTTTGCCTGCAGGGGTTAACGGTTTCACACACTACACGGATGAAACTCCATTTGTTCAGCTAAAATTGTTTCGTCATTTAAAATGTATTGATAATATAACGATACCATTAATTAAAATGTTTGTAGTTACTACTTAACTGTCAACATAATTCTCACCAAATGAAGGGTCTCACGCTAAAAAGGAAATCGATCTACCTAATATACCTTGATTGTAATTATAGGCAAGTTGATCACCTCTCGAAACTCAAGGGTTTATTGGGGTTGTTCTTCTTCAACTACAGTACAGCTATTCTAATAATGTGCTAAACGAACGAAATAATTATTATCCTTTAGAGATTTTGCAAATAAAATGATTATGCGAAACAATATATTCTAGTGTCCCTATGAAATTTACAGGTGATTTCTATTACAGTGTGTTCACATAAAATTATGAAGTTTACTAGTTAGTGAAAAGAGATTTATCTGTCTACCAAGGGAATGTAGTTTTAGATACTGTAATTCATCATGTAAAATTTTCTTACCCTTAGAACACTTTGACTGACAATTCTAGCGTTTTATCTTTAAAAGTATATGGTGTTATCTTGAGCGCAAACCCTACTGGAGGCGCTTTATAGTGATCATGCCTATTTTCAATATATATAATGGGTATGGTAAAAAATCGTTTTTTTTTTTCTGCTTTAGAAAAGTTACTTATCAGATGGTTTGGTTCAAACCATTCGGCTCAGAGAACAAAACTCCATAAAAATCATTCACGTGAACTAAAAAGCTTCTCCATCATCTCAGAAATAGTTTTCGTAGCTCATGACTATTTCGATGATAGCTGCTTAATGTTGTAACCCGAAAGTAATTATTATGTTATCTCTAGATGATCTGATCTATAATTATCAATAGTAATTTTAAAATCCATCAATGATACTGTATACACTACTATAGTTTATGGCGTTTTGTTATTTCTAGGTATGGTTTCAAAATCGTCGTATGAAATTTAAACGACAAAAACCGGCAGAAAATTCATATCCATCTATAAATTATGGAGATATAAATACATCAAATGAATTTATCAGATCAGGATTTTTAACTCGATGTCATAATTCAAATGATGGAATTCATTTAACAGAGGCAAATCCAACAATATGGCTTAATCATAATACTAAAACTATTGCATATAATACTTGTAAATGTAGTAATAATATTGAGATAACTGATAAATATGATGCACAACCATGTTCATATAAATTAGATAATACAAGTATTTTAATACATCATGATCTAGAAACTATTAAAACAAATAATAATTATCAATTAGTTGAATGTAAATTAAAAGAGAACAGTGATTTATATAATAAATATCTAGTCAATAATGAATTATTACCAACAGATCATTGTTCTATTAATTTTAATGAAAATAATAGTAATAATAATAAATTACATTGTAATGAACAATTTACCTCCTTTAATCCATTAACATATTCTAAACATATACATATTATTAATCAACAACCAAATTATTTAAATGAACAACAAAATAATTCTTTATCTGAATTCAATTCTTATTATTTACAAGATCTTCATCATAATTATTCATATCATAATTCAAATCAATTACTTGAACTTAATATGACTAGAGTATCATCAGTCAAAGATTATTCGGATTAAATGAATCAATTAAAAAAAAAGAAAATTAGACAAATTGAATTAGATACAATTTTAGAAAGAAAAAAAGTACATTATTTCGTAATATATATATTCAACGAATTAATAATAAAATTGTTAAAGAGTCAAGCGTATGCATACATTGGTTATATATTTATAGTACTTTTTTTTGTAAAAATAACCGTAACCTTTCATGGATCAATCTGTGTAAAAAGCAAACAAACAAACAAACAAACAAACAAACAAACAAACTGATAATCCTTTAACCTAATAGAATTTCTTGAAGATAAGCAATAATAAATCTAATATTTAATTCAATACTTATTTCATTTTAAAAAGAGGAAAAAACAGGGATTTGAGTACCTTTCAACTATATACAACCTGTTTGACAATAATAATAAAGAAGCAATGATGTTTAGCATATTCATATAAATCCTGTTGATAAGAAGTGAATTTAAATATGTCAGTACAGTGTAGTAAAGGTTACTTAAATTAAGATAAAACGTATGATTAAGATAACATAGTTAAAGTTGATGTTAAAAAAAACAATCTGCAACATTTGTAAAAATAGTTTCAAAAACACTATGGTGTTTAAATTAATTACTTATATAAGTCATTTCATAAATACAGTTTAATAGTGATTTTAATGAGTATAAGGAGTTTGTGAATGTTACTAAATGGTATTTGTATCAATAACTAACCTAAACTAGGTATCCAATTAAAACCTAGAAGTACTAGATAACTGTTTCATTTTGGAATAGGACTCTGACTTGTTTGTTTAGAGATCAGGTGTTCGCCTCAGGAATGAATGTTCTAGGTTCTATTGACAATTCGGTAGTGTATGTTCAATACTGATGGGTGCCATACTAGGACAAAACAGCTGTCCAGTGTTTTAAGGATTTCAGCATTCAATAATTTTGATATTAAAGTTTTACAGACTATACAAAGCTAATAACAAAGTAAAATGAATGTACATTATTCTGCCAAAACCACTGTTTTTCTTTCCAAGTTAGTACATGTAATGTTGTATATGAAATGCATATGGAATGTAAACAAATATGAGTTCGTGAAAGACATTTTTATTTCACAGTATGCTAATTATTTTTCACAATCATAAAATTATGATTCTCAAGTGATTTGTAAGTCACTTAGATTAAGCTTATATGATAAAATCTATGGAATATTTTTGTGATGGTTATCCGTTCGTCCAACTTTTTAATGAATAAAGTAACTTTAAAGATGAGCGTGGATGATATGTTTTTTTCAGGGGAGTGAATATGTGTGATGATAAAAGGTATTTGAATTATTAAACAAACTAGGAATCCCCGGAATAGTGAAATTTATACCAAGACGAACTAGATGAGTACAAACGAACGTATTGTACTTAGAATTCGAAATCAGGCAGTCACCAAGTACCAAGGATTCATTATTTCATATAAGCACCACATCCGCCACAGCTTGAATGAGAAACCAAATTTCTTCAATCAATTGTACCTCTTCTCCTTAAGTTCATCATGTGTCTGTCGGACTATGTATCGGATGCAGACTTTTCCTTACATGATTTACTATCTAGAATAGCAGAGGTTAGAAGAAAAACGACAGTTTTGATGTTCAAGTCTAGAAGTAAAGCCTGTACATGTGATCGTTAGTTCAAGACACATTGGACGTTTTTACATCTGAAATCACTTCGTTTCGTGAGCCCCTATTAAAACAACTAAATATACTTGACAAAATAGTCAACTTAATTTCAGTAATGCTACCAACTGTGTTAGCAATCAAAATGATAATTCAAATGTAATGAATTATTCTTTTTTGTAATAACCAGTCGATAATATGTTATACTAATTGTAAGACTGTTATTCCCGTATTTTGAGATTATATAGTTTCCCAAAAGAATGACGATATTAGCTCCATGAAACTTCGTTATCCGGCGTTCATATGTCCTTCTTTGTTTATTCTGGTAGCGTGGAGTACCTTGTCTGTTTTTGTCTTTAGTGGTTATTACTAATAGCTGAGGAGAGTATCTAATTAGAAACACGATTGCTAATTATGATTATTGTCAATTGTTAGATATTGTTAATTTACTCTAACTGCTGATTAGTTGTTATCGTATGAAAGTGATTAGAGCTTACGAGTGTTACCAATAAATTCTTACCCTGAGTAATTGTTCCTTCCTTTTTGGTTTCTGTAGCCGATAGAGATTGAGAAAACTGCTTCCTTTTCTTAGTACTTTTTGTAACCATGCTAACGGCGGTGTATTTTATACAAAAACTAACATATAGTTTATGTGCAGGAGCACGTGATAGTCACTGTGTTATTTCGTGTTAGGTTATTACGTTACTACACGCTTATTTCTATTTACTATACTTTGTTCAAGTATCCTCAGAGTCTTAAATTTCACTCTCCCATTAGATACTTCTGAAACAGACCCAATCTCCCAATTTCGGGGAAATTTAGGGGAAAGACCCCGAATCCTGTATTGAGTAGTTTTCCAGAAAAACATTTCATCGTCAGTGCATTTTTAAACCTTTGAAGATGAAATTACAATCAGTAAATATTATTTTTAATAATATCATGAACTTTGATCACGAATACACTACCGATGTTGAGGTTTTGTTTTAGTACGTCAAACAGACACGAGACAATGAGTCGTCGACTTTAAAACGCTTTCAAAATTCTCACTCTTTGCAGGTGAGTTGTTTGTACTGTTCATAATTTTGATTAATGCTTTCGTTCAGTCAGACTACAGTTAATTGTTTCTTTTAGACTAGTAATTTAGAGCTTAATAAAAATGCTAAAAGGTAGGCTAAAGCCAGTAGAGATTTAAAGTTGATAGGCTGTCTCAAATCAACCTAGGTTGATAAAATGTATCAGCTAACGACTACTGACTATGAGAACAACGATTCAGTTGTTTCCGGAGAAGTAGGGATCACCGTGGCTGCATAGCAGTGTAGAATTATCGTCCCACAATCAGCCACTACCTAATGCAGTTATGTCCAGTGTACAGCCAGTACACTCAACGATATAGTCAAGGTTTCTTTACTAGCAAGTTAGAGATGATGCTATTTCAGAAATGTCTCCACCTATTCATCTACCAATGGAATAACAACTAGACAGAGTTGTAATTGGGTTGATGAAAGGAGTTAACATGACGGTGAAGAAGGCAAACAAAATTCTGCACCTCTTCCGGATGTACCTTCCGGAACTATCCTGGTCCGTGAGAAGTGCTCTAAATGGAGCCAAAGTTTCAAGAAACAGGAGTCTACTATCATCTTGGATTGAAAACAAGCTTGCTGAGGATTTCAGAAAATTGGCTGCGTGAAATCCGTTTCACCGAAATGAAGCTGCATTTGAACCATGACAGCCTATCTTTGTTCAAAAGCTCTAATCAACAGTTGTGTCCGATCCTAGGTCTCCTAGTAGCTCCATTAGTTAGTGAAGTGTCCACAAATGGGATCTATGGTGGTGAAATAAAACCATTTGATTTCAACGAAGTGTCCGCAGCACTTGTAACTGAGTTACAAGAATTGCTGACAGTAGGTATTTATGTAGATCAGTGTCAGGTACAGTTGACAGTCAAATAAGTTGCTGTTATTTGTGGCACTTCAACTCGTAGCTACGTCAGGTATTTTGTTGAGCATAACGGTACCGCTGGGCGTTACAAATGTCAGGTTTTAGGGACACGACTAGGTGATCGAATGACCTTCCCCAATGGTGAACACGACGTGAGAATTGATGTCACTTTTCGTAGTAGGCCCCAATCCATCTATCATCGTGGTATATGTTTATTCGAAAATCCGCCACTAGATATATTAAAATCTTTCCCATCAGAACCAATGCATAAGATATTCTTAGGTATCACGAAGAAACTTATTTCCTTATGGAAGGATTTATCTATTAAGCCACATAGTCGGATGGATAAATCTATTTTCGCATCAATAGATGTAGCAATAGACTTATGTAGAAATCACACCACATGTGACTTTCAGAGGAAATGTCGTTCACTACATGAAGTTTCTGTATGAAAAGCAACAAAATGTCGGTTGTTTTTATTATACTTAGTTTCTACAGTTCTTTATGATAGGTTACCAATCGCGATGTACAGAAACTTCCAGCACCTATCTTTAGTAGTATAATTATTATCACACCCAAAATTACACACCACCTTAGCAAACAGTGTTCACGTTAATGTGAAGAGCTTCTTACTGAGTTACGAAAGCTGTTACGTGAGGGAACACCTAGTCTATAATGTGCATTGTTTAAAGCACACTGCTGACGACGTGATTGAACATGACAGTTTAGAGACCTTCTCTGCCTTTCCTTTAGAATCGTACATGCGGGAAATTAGGCATTTAATACACTACGGATTTGCTGCGGTTAAGCAAGCTGTACAGCGATCTGCCGAAGAACTTTGCTTTCAAAGTTCACTGAATCAGGGCATGGCAGACAATATGATTGAATCTGAGGTAAGTTATGATTTATCTAAGGAAATCATCACTTGCAGAAACTCAGAGCTATCAACTACCAGGCCTGACAATGTAGTAATTGCCAATGGCCAATCAATCTTCATTACACAAAGTACTGATGGAAGCAGGATTAGGTTTAGGGCATTCCATAACCTTTTCGCATTCTTTACTAACCCTTTTCCCTCCAGTACTATAAGTATATTCAAGTGTTCTACCGTAAGCCACGATATACTTTGCAAGTGTACCGACACAGCATAATGAGGTTATCATTTCCCTGGTACACACATATCAATAGATAATGTGACATCATTTCTCAAGGTCTGTCGTAAATATAATAGTTTGTGCAACAAGTGTGCTTGTTGATTAGTGCTTTGGCCTCGTTCATCAGGAAGTTTTAACGAATGTTCAGTCAGTCAGCTGCAACGTAGGACCAGGCACGTATATGCATCGGTCCAAGTTGCCATACAGCACTAGCACAACAAGATGAACACCGGATTCATAGAGGTAGTTTATTCAGTGGTGGTAATATATAGAAGAAAGATTGTATATAAGGAGATAGTACAGGAAAAAGAATTAGTTCGTAGAAAGAAAGATTTGAAGCGATTTTAATCTCTTAGTTTGAAGGAAGATAGAGAGTGTATACACCGATGCCATTGTGATTGATTCTGAGCCATATCACCAAGAGTCTCCAACCATTGGCTACGATAGTCACGCGAACCCCAACCAGGCAGTCTGAATCTCCCAACATGGCTCAGACCAGAAGTTAGTGACTTCAAGCACTGATGCCACGTTTTTGGTTTGGCCGCCCCTAACTTTCTTCCAATTGTCCCCTGCACTAGTCAGCATTGCGCGTCGTGGTAATCGGTGTTCAGGCATACGCAACACGTGGCCCAACCATCTCAGTCGATGAAGATTCATAACCTCATCAACTGATTTACAATCATTCTCTAATACCCTGCG